CGGCCCTCGAAGCAACAAGCAGGGCTCTTCTCCTCAGTGCTGCGCTCTGCAATCAGCACAGCGGGCTTGGTCCAGCGGGCTGGATGCTGCACGGGTTCAGTGGGGGCTAAAGGGCCGGGGGGGAGCAGGCAGCTCAGCTCCGTTCAGCACAGCCTCCGAGACCAGAAGGAGCAGCAAAGCTGGAGGGGCGAGGGGGCTTCAGGCAGCAGCTTTCTAAACTGCAGGCTATTTTCACCAGGGGACCAGCGACCGACCCATCCCCCAGATCGCATGACCACTATTTCCATGGCAATAAATAAATGAACTCTGATCCTGAGCATTTCCAACCGTGCTGCTGCTCAGGATCCGGCGAGTGGGCTGGCCGGGGCAGGAAAGGAAGCCAAGGCAGCAGCCCCTCAGCCGCCAAGGGCCTGGGACACAAGCAGACCGCGGAGGCCCGTTTCCGGGGGCATCGTGCAGCAGATCTGCCCGGGCCCCTGAGGGCCATTTTGCCAGGATCAGAGGCACTCCTTGGACTCTTGCTGCCCCAAGAGCGGCCTTCGTGCCTGGCCGATGAAGCCAAAGGAAGAGGACCCCAGCCCCCAGCCCAGCCCTTCCACCTGCCCCTCCGGCTGGAGGAGGCAGACCTTCTTGGTTTGATAGGGCCCTCCTGCAGAGCTTGAAGGCAGTCCCTTGTGACGGAAGCCCTGGGATTCCCTAGAGGCCTCTCAGCCAGCCGGAGGGAGGCCGGTCCACCAGGAAGCCAAGGCTGAGGGCAGGCTCAGCTCCAAGTGGGAGGGCAGATTGTGACAGCTTGTATGGAGCCTCCCCAGGAGAGAGCAGCTTACCCCTTCTGCTTCTGGGGGACAGATGCCAGATTCCTGCCCGGTCAGGATCTGCTGCTGCTGCTGCTGCTGCTGCTGCTGCTGCTGCTGCTGCTGCACTAAAGCCTCAAGGCAGTACCTGGGCGGAAGCTTGCCCACAAGAGGACGTGTCCTCTCTTGGCCAGAAAGGCCCACGAGACGAGCTGTTGCTGTTTGACCCCTACCACGGCTTTCCTACAGCTTTTCCGTCCCAGGACCGCCTCCCTCAGTGTGCCAACTAAGCAATCTTCGCCTTAGGATCATGCACAGCGAGAGGTGGAAGGCCCCTGGACTCCTCGGGGCAAGAAGCCGTGTTGAAGCATCCCGGGCAAATGGCTGTCCGGCTTCCCCTCCAGCCCAGCCTCTCAGGGTCTTCGGTTCCACTCCCCAGCTGCTTCCAACCTGTCCCTCAGCCAGCTCTCCTCAAGCTAAACCTGATCAGCTCCTTCGCTGTCTTCCCGCAGAACCTTTTTTCTGGTCCTCGGGTCATCTTGGTTGCGCTCTCGGACTCTCTTGAATCCCTTCTTAGAGGGAGGTGCCCGGAACTGGACAAAAGGCTCCATGTGAGGTCTGACCAAAGCAGGACACAGTGAAATCATTGGTTCCCATGGCTGATCTTTGGCGGATGCAGCCTAACATTGCATCTGCCTTCTTTGCTGCCGGCTCATGGTCACTTGCACACAGCCACCGTTCAGACCAAGCCAGATATGCCCCAACCTATGCTTGTACATTCGAGCTTTGTTTCCTAAATGAAGAATTTTGCTCTTTTTTCCACTAACTACTACTTTCATCCCATTTCTCCAACATACCAAAATCATGTTGAATTTTATTTCTATCTTCTAGTTTATTAGCTATCCACCCTATTTTGTATCATTTGCACATTTGATAAGCCTTCACTTCATCCAAATTATTAAAGAAAGTATTGAAGAGTAGATGTTGAACTGATGAGGAATTATTGGTGAGCACCCAATGAGTATGATTTTCAAGCCTGTTATATATCAATTCAACTTTCATGCCACCCAGCTCATAGCTAACTAGCTTGCTAATCAGCTAGCTTGTATGTCATGGGGTATTTTGCCAAATACTTTGCAGAAATTAAGGTTTATTATGTCTCCAGCATTCCCACAATCTATTAAAGAAGTTACTTGAGCAAAATACCCAATGAGATTAATCTAGCAAAATGTGTTACTGACAAATGTTGATGCTGTAGTGGACCCTTTATTGAGCAAGGGATTGGGTTAGATGGATTGGACCTCCCAATTCTATGATGACGTAGTTTCATGAAATCCATGCTGACTTCTGCTTTCAATGTGCTTACAAACCAATCTCTTTGTGATCTGAGCTAGAATCTTCCCAGGTGTTGATAACAGACTGATCTGCAGTTTGCCAGATTCTCCTTTTTCTCTGTCTGAACTTCTAACACTTTCAGAAATAGATTAGAAGAAAACTGCTTCATGCCTTGCCTTTAAGAAGGCACTACTGACACCTTATTTCTTTCAAAATGCTTCACCACCATCACCGCCCCCTGCCCACCAAACACAGTCACAGCAGAGTTTTCCCTAATTTCTGCAAGAGAAGGTACTGGATTTCAGATTGTTCCTTATGCCTAACTGTAAGGGGCTACCTGTGATTTCTCAGTGCTGATTAGAAGGCACTCTGCACATGCTTGGAGACACTTGTGATTTTCCATGCTGTAAGCTTGCCCATTGAGTTCCATGGAGTATAGTGGGCAGGGCCTGGCACAGAACTCATGCTGCCTTGGCACAGAAATGGAATATATTTTGGGAAGCGATGATCAACCAGCAGATGATTTAATTGCTGTTGCCAAAAAAGCTATTTATAGGGGCTGCATCAGGCCTGAGGTGCAAGAAGGGGCTTTGCTTGGGGATTGCAGCTTGCTTGAGGCAGCCATTCCTTCAGGTCGATGTCACACCCCCTCTCCTTTCCCGGGATTTCCAGGAGGCCCTTCCAAGAGCTCAGGGAGAGGCCGAGGCAGTGGAGGGGGGAGAGTGCTGAGAGGCCCGGGATGCTGCAGAGCAGGAGAGCACGTGAGGGTCCCCTGGAGTGCCGGGACATGGTGGTGCAGAACGCCCTGTACACGGGGAACCTGGCTGAGGTGCAGCGGCATTTCTCAGAGCAGTCTGTGGTCAACCTGGTCATCCACGTGAAGAGTCAGGACCTGCGATGGACAAGTCAGAAATGGGGTAAGAGCAGGAGTGAAGATAAGAGGCCGCGGAGCCTTGGGAGCGGTGGCGGTACTGGACACTGCATGGCAGGAAACTAAGGTGGTTGCAAGTTGGGTATAATATCCAATGGGCAGGCTAAAATCCCCCCCACTCAGTAATACTCCTCCTCCTCAGGAAGTGTGTGAACAAGTGCTCTGGGCCAAAGTAGCTGTTGCTAAGTCCCTGGTACAGTCAATAGGCAAGCAGCAGGTGACCCAGAGAGGAGAGCATTGCCAAAGATACATGTGTTTCCCCCCGCCCCGCCCCTGCCCAGAGGGGGGCTTTGCTAGGATGCCAGGGCTGAAGGTACCGGAAGCAAGGCTGTTCAACCATTGTACAGGCTGTGCAACCAGCAGCATCTCTGGACTGTCAGCAGGAGTGGACAGACCCTTTAGGATCCCCTTGAAGGGGACAATCTACTTTTCCATCCACTCCACTTGGGGCAAAAGTTGTTCCATCTCAGCGGGGGGGGAGTGGGCACTCCTTTCTCTGAAAAATACTTTAGGCAAAGAGCCAACAAAGCTGTAGTTCCAACAGAAGAGAGTCTCTGTAGCTCAGGGTTGAACCGTGGAACCCCTGGGGGCTTTCTCAGCTTGGTGGTTTTCCTGTAGAGGTTTTGTTACCCAGCACTGAAGAGGTGACCCAGCTGGGTAACAAAACGTCTGCAGGAAAACCACCAAGCTCAGAGAACCCCAGGACTCCACAAAGCTGTAGTTTTTCCCTTAAAATAGTTTAGTTTTTTAAAGCACTTACTTTAATAATAAGCTTCTCAGGCATGCAGAAGCCAAATCTTGCTGAAGGAGAATCAAAATGCTTTTCAGAGGAAATGTATCTCTTAGTAACCCTTGAAAGAGTCAATAAGCAGGTGGAAAAAGATCTACATAGATTGCCTACCTCCTCCCAACATATTCAACTTCATTAATGCCTAACCCATTTTCTTGGTTCACAAACAAATGAAACAGACTGATTCCCACAAGATGCTTGGTCACCAAAAAAAAAAGAATCAAGAATCTAACCAACCGAGCTTTATCAGGTTGTGTGAATGCAGCTGCTGGGTCTAAGTCACCTGATGAAGTGTGTCTTAAAAACCCAGAAATAGTTGGCTTGTATTCTTGACAAAATCCCTCCCCTAAGGTCCCTGAGCAAATCTAATTAATTAATTAATTAATTAATTAATATTAAACCAATGTATATAGCTGCCCATCTCACCACAGGTGACTCTGGGCGGCATACAACAAATGTAAAAGCAATCAGTAAATACATTAAAAATTATAGAAAGCAAAATGGTGATGGAGTGAAATGAGGGGGAGCTGGAGGGGGGCTGGACAGAGAGCAGAATTCGGGACAGCAGATTCGAGTCTGTAGTCTTTAAGGATTCCCCCTGTACAGCAAACTACAATAATCCAAGCAAGAGTTGGGAAGGGGATGAGCAATGTCCTCAGTGCCCCCTGTTCTGGGAAAGGCTGCAACTGGCAGATTGGTCGAAGCTGGCAAAGAACTTCCTGGCCACAGCCCCACCTGCTCCTCGATCAAGAGCCATGAGCCCAGGCAGATCCTTGTTGCAAGCCTTCTCTTTTAGGGGAGCATCACTTTCTAGTCAGTGGTGACACAGTCCTGCAGTCGGTGGCTGCCGCTTCATCTGGCCTGAGTGGAGTCTGAGTCTGTTTTTCTCCATCCATCTGGGCATTTTCCATTTGGTTGGGAGCAGAGATAGATAACTGACCGTTATCGGCATACTTATGTCTCATCGTGAACTGGCAGATGACCTCCCCCAGAAGCTTCACGGGGATGTTGAAGTAAAATGAGGGAGAGGATTGAGCCCTGGGGTTCTCCATACTAGGGTGCCTGAGGGCTCTCTTGCCCCATAATCACCCACTGGAACATTCAGTTACGAAGGAGTAGAACCAATGCCCTCAGTCCCCAACCCTTTCAGAAAGACTGTGCTTGGGACATTAGCATGGGAGCTCTGGCATAGTGTACTGTATGCGTGTAGTGGTTGAGTTTTTTAGCTGGGTTTTTGTTTTCATTAAATGCTCTCTTTTTGTTTTGACACCCAGACTTTCTTGAATAGTTGGGCAGCCATACACATTGGATAAACAAAAAAACAAAAAAACATTAGGACAAGGATGGATCTGATCCCCCCATCTCACCATTGGCTATCCATAAGAATGACCCACTGTCCCGTGTCCCAGCCTGGATCCTCGATGCCAAGAGTCCTGATAATTCACATCTTCCAGAGTCCTTAGCAGTTGCTGCACCATCAACTTCTCCCCAAAAGGGAAAGTTAGATATGGAACAGGGGTTGTCTGAGCTGCTAGGTCGAAAGCAGGCTTTGCAGAAGGGGAGGGGGCAAACCAGGAACTTTCTCAATCCAGACAGGAACGGTCCCTCCCCCAATGAGATGTTGACTATTGCCAGGCCTACTTCTTTGTCTCTTCCCTGACAGCCTGGACTAAGCAGGTGGGGCAAAGGTCCAGCCAGCAGGTGATGGAGTTGGATTCACAAGGAACCTGTCCTCAGGTTCTGCAGGCTCAAAAACCTCCTGCCAGCTCCTCAGATTCCGAGTCTGGTCCAGCTTCCAGGTCCTCTTGACCAGCAGTGCCTTAGCCACAAAATGTCCCACCAGACATTCCCAGCTGGGACAAAGCAATGATCTTCTGTGCCTCTGAACGGCGTTTCTGACTGACAACAAGAGCAGAGAAGCAGTTCTGCTCCACCACTCTTAGCACCCCAGGATAGGCTCAAACCTGAGCTTGCATTTCTTGCAGCCATGCCCAGGCAGCTTCACCCCTCATCTCTAGCAGCAGCATTCTAGGTAGCTCTTCATCGTGGCCTGGAATGACACGCTGTGGCAACTGGATATGAAAATCCATTGGCCGACCAGGGACCAGGGGGTGGAACTGTAAAAGAAGGAGGACTTTCAGGGAAATCTACTGATGACCCATCAAGGTCAGGTGGCTTCCCAAAAGCCAGAGAGGAGGGAAAGAGGAACACCCTCTACACACGTTGGCTGCCTGTGTGCTTAATCAGGAAAAAAGGGCAATTTTCGGTACTGAAAATATCAGCGTAAGGCTGCCGACAGCCTGGGCACAGATCGTCTCACCTGCCTTCAGTTGCGGCGGCGAACGGGGTGGGGGCGCCTCCTGCACTCTGTCCCCTACGTGCACTTGGACGCTGCCGCTTCCTGCTCTCGCTCTCTTGCCCAGGCACTCAGCGGGCAGCCGGCCACCCCCCTTCCACCCGGGTTGTGCCTTTCCCTGCACTCCAGGCCAGGTGCCCCAGAATAAAAGTCACCCCCACAGTGAAGGACGAGCCGCCAGAGAGATCGCTGCCCTGGCCCCCGGGGCACGGGCACGGGCTCGGGCACAGCCATGGAGCCCATCGCGACGCGCACGGTGCAGGGAGCAGCGCAGGCGTTCTGGCAGGCCCTGCTGGTGGGGGACGGGTGTGCCGTTCTCTGCTTCCTGAGAGACCCCGAGAGCGGCGTGGGCCCCAACTCCATCTTCGACACCAGTGACTCGGACGAGTGGCGGCAGTATCGCTCCAATTCCCGCTGGCTGAGTGCGCAGAGAGAATGTGAAGCGGGCTGGGCAGCTTAGCGGAGGAAGGCAGGGAGGGGCCCAAGTGGCCGGTCCTAGGCTTTTGCCCCCTGCGGGGGTAGGCAGCTGGAGCTGGGGATGGGGGAGAGCCGGGCTGGACTGGGGCCAGTGCCAGCGGGTTGCTACTGCCCTCGGCTTCGCGTCGCTCAGGGCCCCTGACCCTGTGGCCTTCTGTCCCCAGGGCTTTGGTCTCTGACCTACGAGCAGGAGCTCACCACGCCGCTGCACATCACGGCCAGCCGCGGCTACCTGGACTGCTTGCGCCATCTGCTGCTTCGCGGAGCCGAGGTGGACCGGGCGCCGGGCGGACAGACGCCCCGGCACGCGGCTCCCGCGGCGGCCGCCACCGACTGCGTCCGGCTGCTGCTGTCCTTCGGC